TTAGATAGTATTTGAAATTGTAGTAGTAATTATTTTTTAAATTAATTTTTTTAAATATATTAAAATAATATATATTTTTTTATTTTTTAAAACTTATTTTAACATTAATCTATCAAAAAAATCCAAAAAAATAATTCAAAAATTCAAAACTTTTTTAAAAATATTTCTTAAAAATAAAAAAACACATGCCAGTGCTATAATCGCAGTGAAGCGCAGAGCAATTACTTCAGTGATTGTTCTCTGGACCTGTATTGGGGCCAGATACTAACCGGGCCCTGCAATAAACCTGTTGACCCAAAAATGCAATTTTAACTGGTCGAAACTCGAAACGACAACGAAACGCGAGCGAAGCGGGCGCTGCAAAATTACAGAGACAGAGAGTAGAAAAGCACTAAAGAGCCATTGCATTACAACCGTTAGATCTGCTAAAGTAATCCTCTTTAAAGAGGCTCAAATACATCACAAATAAAAAGGTCACCCCTCTTAGCGCCGCCTATAAAGAGCTTAAAAAACACTGTTCCTTATCTCCCAAAACCCACTAAACTAACCAAGGTAAACAAAAACCCTAGATTCATTCATTTATTTTACACTTGCTTTTAATTGTTTTGCTGTTTTCTTTTGTTGGATTCTAATTTTTTAATCTTGTTTAAATTTTGTATCTTTTTATTCCTTTCTAGTTAATGCTAGTGTATTATTGTTTTCCGAGTTTTTGGTTATATGGGTTCTGTTTGTTGAGATGGGTGGGGCTTGATTTCATGCTTTCTGTGGCTATAAGTAAAGAAACTATAAATCTTTGTTTAGGATGTTTAATGAAGAAAGTGTTCTGTTTCTCATGATGTAATTAATTTGATTTGTTTTGGAGTTAAAATATCAATATTTGAGTTAAGTACGAAAATTTCAGTTCTTTTGGAGGATTTAGAGAGTGGTATCTCCGAAGTAAGATGGTTAACTAGGTTTAGGTTAGGTTATGATTCGCTGAATGGAACATACTGGCAAAATATAATCTTGCTGTGGTTTGGTCCTTGTTAAGTATGGTTTTTCTTCGAATTCCTTGCATGGGTTTTCATGTTCAGGTTTTAATTGGCCAATGCGCGTAAAATTCTTTTCTTGCAGATGGATCGGGAGAAGCTTATGAAGATGGCCACTGCAGTTCGCACTGGTGGAAAGGGTAGTGTGAGAAGGTGGGAAGACTATTCCATCGCAACTGATCCAGCTCTCACTGGAATTTATCAATTACCTAAGTGATATTGTGTTTGCATCAAGTAGTTTAGAAATGAAAATAATTGTAAATTGGAGAATGAAATTGTTTTATTTGAAATTGCCTGTATGAGATAGTCAGCCAAGTGGCATCGTGCTCATGTTTTATTTTCGTTTTAATGCTAATCACAACTTGAATTTTTTTATTTCTTTTGGCTGGTTTGAGTAATGGTCACTGGATGGTTCTGTAGAGGGTTTCCTGCATTCGGACATTATGCGTAATTCAAACATGTTTTTATTAAGTAATTAAACTTACTGAAAATATAGATCATGGCTACTGTGTTTTTCTGTTGTTTACCTCGAATGAGTTTCTTTTAAATCTATGCTTATAACTGAAGGAAGAAGAAGGCTATCCACAAGACTACTACTACAGATGATAAAAGGCTTCAGAGCACCTTGAAGAGAATTGGAGTGAATGCTATACCTGCAATCGAGGAAGTCAACATATTCAAGGATGACATTGTTATCCAGTTTCTAAATCCCAAAGGTAAAGCTGACTACTTTAAATGGACATGATATATTCAGATCTTCCAAATTCACTTGGTCAATTTCTAGCTGATTATTATTTTGGTTTTAATTTTGCAGTGCAAGCATCCATTGCTGCCAACACGTGGGTTGTTAGTGGTGCTCCACAAACTAAGAGTATGGCTCTAAGACTTTCTGTATAAAACCTGGGAATGAAAAGTAAATCTTTTGTCTGTTAATTGGTGGAACATATCTGTATACCTCGTGGTTAAATGTTCTTGGACTTGCCATGTTGAGTTTGGTTTTCTTGAAGGAAGTTTACAACTCGTTAGTTGCTCTTTCTTATTGAATGATATCTGACATGCAAATTTGTTCTGATTTTTTTTCTTCAGAATTGCAAGATATTCTTCCTCAGATTCTCAGTCATTTAGGTATGCACTTTTGAATCTATTCCCTATAAATGTAATCATCTATGAAGTTTAACTGATGCTTGAACAATCTTCTACTCTTCTGTTTCTCTATCTGCAGGTCCTGATAACTTGGACAACCTGAAGAAATTGGCGGAGCAGATCCATAAGCAGGCACCTGGTGCAGGTGCTACCGCTGCAGATGCAGCAGCACAGGATGATGATGATGATGTCCCGGATCTTGTGCCTGGGGAGACCTTTGAAGCTGCAGCTGAGGAGGGTAAAGCTGCTGCTTCTTAGAGAGATTTAGAAGGATTTGTGCTATTTTATATACTTCCTGTGTTTTTGAAGTGTTACCCATTTTTCTAATAACATCAATCTTAATCTTATGTTCTCAGTGACTCTTTATGGTTGTTGTGTTAGAGTTTCGATTCGTTATGCTTTGCAGAAATTCGTGATTGATATTTGCTTACGAAGTCTGTGCTTCCTGATTGAATGCCAGCGCCATCGCCATGGCAATGCGTGAATCATTGTAGTTAAGAAGTAAGTCAGGGAGAAAAGTTTAGATCATTGTAATTTGGGCTATAGTCATTTGTGGGCTTGTGCTATGTCATGGACTGGAATCTTTTTTAATTGGTTAAAAAAAAAGCTAAAAAAAACCGATTTGGGTTTTAGATTTGCTGAGTTAAAAAGTATAACCTAATTAGATAATAGAATAAAAGGTAACACAGTCAATGAACTAATTTATATAAAAAATCATTGAAACCTATTAAAAAAGAACATCGTCACCAAAACAAAGAAAGATAATGAAGTAGGATTCCACCAAATTATATGGAAAAAAAAAAGAAAAATGTTTATAAGTCAAGGTATTAAGCAAATAAAAAGGTTTGAAGTTCATAAAAAAATATTTAAAGTTTAATTCCAAAAAAATCAAACTGAGAGGGATACAATAAAATAGAAATCAATTAAAAAAACAACTCATAAGCTAATAAAATCACAATTTTGATTCTTATGATGTGAATGAGATAGCTAAATAGAAAATAAATTGAAAAAAATATAACTAAATAGAAAATAAACTGAAAAAATTACGAAACTCAATTCTAAAACAACTTAATGCTAAAAAAAAAAACATAACAAGTATTTAATTAAAAAAAAATCAATTTTAGTTAACTTATAAAACATGTGATCTAAATGATGAGATTGAGATAAACAAACAAAATTTTTTGAAGAAAATCATGAAGTTTAATATCAAAAACTTTCAACTTTGAAGGATGCAACTATAAAAAAAATAAAATTAAACAATCTAATATTAAATAATAAAATTTAAAAATAAATATTAATTTTAAAGAATTTCCAAAGTAAATTCAATAAAAAAACAAATAAAAAGAATCAAAATAACCAAGCTAATTTTCAAAATTTATGAGAAATTCTACAGAAAGAAAATAAATAAAAATAACAACACAATTTCTAATTAAGTAAATGATTGATGATGAAATTAAAAAAATACGAATATAAAAAAAAAAAATCAAGCAAACTCAGACAAATCTCCCTGATTTCGGTTAATCTCTAAAATTCATAACTTTTGAAATTCTAAACCTAGATGCAGTAAAAAAGTTCAATTCTTAATAATTTAATATTAAATAATAATTTAAAAAATTAATTTTAAAATTATCTCAAATAAAACAAATAGTAATTAAAAAAATAAAAAACTAGATTTGAAAGATGAAAAAAATTGAATGAGGTTAAATTGAAAAATAATTATAATTTTATAAATTATTAAAAAAAAGGTAAAAAAAAAGAATATAAACTAAATCTAAAAGAATAGCAAATTAAAAAGTTGTTTTGAATTTTTAAATAGGTAGGTGCCAAAATATAGGGGGAGAGAAAATAAAATAGAGAAAAAAAACGCCTTGGAATGTTAGTTTTAATTTCTTTGGTTTAAGGGATAGCTAAGTCATTTTACTATATATATATATATATATATATATATATATAAGTAAAAAAATCATTTTATCCCCTATAATTTAAAAACAACAAATAAATCACGGTGACATGTCGATGGTCACGTGCCTCCTTGATTTTCTACCAGTACGACGAGGTTGAGGTTGCACGAGTAAAGTTGTTGGGCTGAGCCTTGATATTAATAACTGACCGAGCGTGCTTTAATTTCTACATGATGGATTGACGTGTTAATTGTAAATTAAAAAGTTGTTTTGAATTTTTAAATAGGTAGGTGCCAAAATATAGGGGGAGAGAAAATAAAATAGAGAAAAAAAACGCCTTGGAATGTTAGTTTTAATTTCTTTGGTTTAAGGGATAGCTAAGTCATTTTTCTATATATATATATATATATATATATATATATAAGTAAAAAAATCATTTTATCCCCTATAATTTAAAAACAACAAATAAATCACGGTGACATGTCGATGGTCACGTGCCTCCTTGATTTTCTACCAGTACGACGAGGTTGAGGTTGCACGAGTAAAGTTGTTGGGCTGAGCCTTGATATTAATAACTGACCGAGCGTGCTTTAATTTCTACATGATGGATTGACGTGTTAATTGTAAGGGTTTAGAGAAGTTCCGGTGATAATTTCTTTTCTCTGCGCTCGGTTTTTTTTTCCCCACCTTAAAAGTCTTCATTTTAAAAGATGTAAAATTGATATCTTTTTAGTTAGTTAAGTTACTCATGTTTATCTTAAAAGTCTTTATTTTATTTTGATTAATTAAATTAATTCAGATTTTTTTATTTTATCATTGTTTGAATATTTTTTTTATATTAAAAAAAATTAATCCACCCCCAACCTAACAGGGGGCAAAAAATCATTATGATGATGATATTGGAATGTTTGTAAAACCAATGGACTAACTAAAATTATTTTGTTAAAACCACGGACTAAATAATAACTGTTTTTCGTTTTTAAGAAAACCGTTATCCTTGCACTGTTCTGTTCACTGCCTCAGTCCTCTACTCAGTGAGATGATGATGATGGCGGTGGTTCTAGAAGGAACCCATAGCTTTTTACCGAATTCTAACCAATTCATTCTTTGGTTTCCACCTTCACCACCACCACCAACAACAACCAATCAAAAACCTCTCTCAACACCGCCAGGAATATCAAAACGACACCGTACTCGTCTCACCAAAGCAGCAGCAGCAAAAACGCAAGAAGTCCGAGTCTGCACGAACCGCACATGCCGTAAACAAGGCTCATTTCAAACTCTAGAAGTCGTCACCGATTTAGCCCCTCCGGATATAACCGTCAAGTCCAGTGGCTGCTTAGGCCGTTGTGGCTCTGGTCCAAACGTCGCCCTTTTGCCTCAAGGAATAATAGTGAATCATTGCGGTACTGCTGCTAAAGCTGCACAGTTCATGGCTACCGCTGCTAATGTTAGCGATGTAAATATAAGTAAGAGTTTGGAAGCACTTGCTTTGAGAAAAACAGCTCAGGCTGAATCCGAACTTGCAAATTTCTCCAAGGCCGAGGAATTACTCTCACTGGTATAAAATTTTAAAATTTTAATTTAATTTAATTTTGGGAATGATTTAGGGTTAATGATGAGTGCAGGCTATCGATCTTCAACCATTTGGTGGTATCCACATCATGTATAAATACAGGTTTTTATATTTCCTTTTCTTTTTAACAGTTGAAAGGATTGGTTCAGAAAAATAATTTTGAGTTTTTTCCCTACATCATCATAGGTCGCTTGCAAGATTGGCAATGAGAAACTATTTGGGTGCTCTTGAAGATGCAAGAGAAGCTTTAAGATTAGCTCCTCGATATCTTGAGGTGAGTCACAATACTTGTTAACATATCAAATTTGATTTTACTGATGGAGAAATCGAAGCAGAATTATACTGAAGAAGAAGCATAGGAAAGCAAAATTTAAAAAATCACATCGATATGGCTTTTAATTAAAGAAGCCATTCTAAAATCCATGATGCACTAGAGCCCAAAGATGCCCGGATAAAGAAAAAACCCACTAGGAATCATTTTCCACTCTCTAAGTTATAATCCAATTCTTCATATTTAATATGGAAGTAAGATATACTGGAGGTCTCTTGCCACAGGGTCTTGTTTCTTGCAGTTTGCTCTGCGTGCACTATGCAGATGCAGGCTGCAAAACTCTGTGACTTTGCTTGCGCTTGCCAGTGTAATTATTGCTGTTTGAATAGCTTTCATGATTGGTATAGTAAATAAAAAAAAAAGGCTCTTCAGCCATGTATTTTCAGAGATTGGTATTTTTAGTTATCATTAGGATGTATTTATGAATTCGTATTAAGCAGGCTTACATGTGCGAAGGTGATGTTTTCATGGCCATGGAAGAATATGATGCAGCGGAGAAGTCATATTTGACTTGTTTACAGATAGACCCATCTATTCGTCGTTCCAAATCTTTCAAGGTATATTTCGATTTCTTGGGATTCTTTCATATTTATTTTTATAGAACTGTATTTAGGATCAGCTTTTCATGCTGTATTTTCTTCAATTTTCCTACCTTGTTTCTCAGCTTCTGCAGTAACTCTGAGTAGATCTTTCCTTATCTTTCAATTTCTAAATTTCACTTCAAGACCTTTGAATTCCAGAAAACAAATATGGTTTGCGTTGATGGGAACACTCCTCCCATGTGATAATTTCTGATTCTTTCTTCATCAATCAGATTATGTCCTGAAATTTTAGTTTGGTGCATCACATTGTTAATTATGATCCTGCCTGTATGAAATTTTTATGAACAAATAAAAGTTAGAAGATGAAACCATACTATTTTGATTACTTTATTGGTAGAAAAAGTAAAATTAAATGAGGCTCCACTTGGTTCAGTCTCTTTGGTTTGTTTTCATCTTGCATGCGCCTTGTGCTTGTTTTATCTTAATAATGACCACAAGAACAGTAGCTACACTTGTTCAGATAAACCAACTTAAAATAAAAATATCCATTCTAACTACATCAAATTCAAGGAAAGTAATCAATTTTGAAGTCCTAAAATTCCCTAGAAAGACGAAGTTTAATCTGTTTCAGTGCAAAATGAATGAACAAATTGTTTTTTTACTTTGTTATATGGTCATTAATTGTACCTGTTGCAACATTAGAATAACTTTGAATTGGAAGACAGTATTGTCCTCAAGATCTGAACTGGAATGGCTTGACAAGTTAGTAGGAAATAAAAAAAAAATAATAATATGAACCTCTAAGCTTGCATTTGGTTATTGTCTTGGAACAAAAAAGACATAGACAGTGGAGACAAAGGGCCTATTTCACTCTAAAATTGTCTCAAGGGCAAATTTATTTTACGTTTTCATCTGTATCTTTTCAATCAAACATGTTTTTGTCTATTCTGTATTAGTCACTTTTGTCTTGGGATACTAACCAAGGAGTATGAAAACAATTAGATAGCATCCTTACAAATTTTCTAGAGTCTGGACCTCGAAAAAATGCCATTTGTGCCAGAAATATATTACGTTTGTAAGGTATGCTGTGTCACAATGTTGGCTTGTGAGATTGAGCAACTTGATAAATTACCATGCACTTAGATGTAAGAATACATATCCGAGAAAAGAAATTATGTGAACTAATGAGCCATTAGATATTATCTTGGCATATGAAAGACACCTTCAGCATATTATTATGGTGCTGCAGACATGGATCGAAGTTTCATACTTTAACAAGTTTTGAAATGGGAACTTGCGCTTGAATTTATGTTTGATAACTACCAAATAAGTATATATATATATTGGAATGTGGGACTTGATATGCAAACAGTGGTATTCATGTATGAACCAACTGATATTAGGGATGGAATTTCTCATATTTAGCACTGCAAACACTGTGTGTTTCCCCAAGGAAAAAAAATAGATAAGGAAAATAAAAATCTTCAATATTTTCTCTCTGTCTCTGGCAGAAACGGGTGGAAAAGCTTAACGAGAAGCTAACTGCTGCAAATATGCCTCTCAATCAGCATGAATAAATCCACCTGTGTATGCATATTACAATCTGAGGGATTGAAGTCTTGAAGGTTCTCTGCATCCAGGTTTGATTTTCTCGCTTTTGAAAGTCTGCCCTATTTTGTTTCTTTGCATTTAGAGCTTGAGACGAAATATAAGGTTTATACAATTCTAAGGCCTGGTTATATTTTATAGGAAATTTATATCATATATTTGGGTGTGTAGATGGGATTCACAACGATTTATGTACACTATATTTTATTTTGGCTGATTTATTACCTCTCTGCACATAAAACCACATGAAGTTTCAATCTCATTAAATGGGGGATTACACAGCTATGCGTTCTTCTTTATAAATTTTCACTCTAAAATAATGTACATGATCTTGTTTACAAGCTATTTATTGTTTTTCTTAACATAAAGTAGAGTCCGTTACAAGATAACTAAATCATCCTCCCCCACCACATGATCAAAGATGCAAACACTGTACCACACAATGCCACAAATACTTTGAGCATCAATTATTATTGTTAGGGGGTTGCTGCTTGTCTCACGGGGATGGAGGCATTTGGGTTCTGTAGCAGAGACCTTGATAGCAACTAAAAATGAAAGGTGGATTTATGAACAGTGCTTGTAGTTCCAGATATTGATGTAATGGTTGGGAAGTTATTGCTAATGGTATGGGAATCAGTGAATGTAGAAAGACATGTTACAGTTTCGTTCACTTTGAAATGTTAAGGAAATAGTGTGCATGTCTTGTAACTCTGTACAAGACTCTTTTGCTTTGTTTCAAAATGGAAAATCTTAGACAGGCACACAAATTACTACTTATCTAAGCAAGTAAACTGGAGTTCAACTTCAGGTCATTTTCTTTCACGGAAATCACGCAAGGACTGAGTGACTCCTAACCTCTCTTCAGTGTAACAAAATCTCCAGCCTCATAAAAGCAGTGGACTGGAATGACCGCACAACTAACGAGGAGTGCTTTGTGCATCCGAATTCACTTGCATTGCTTCGTGCAAGCCTCTTTCATGGTTGAAATTTGTCAGAGAACAATCTTTGTATATGGAAAAATACCATTATTGATTGAATGCAACACTTAAAAGACCTATCTGTTTCCTTCCTTCCTTCCTTCCTTCTCTTCTTTCCTTTTTTTTAATGAATTTAAAAGTTCAGGTTTTTTTCCATTTGAATTCTCCAAAGAACATGGAAAAAAGATATTGCTTCCGTTTGAGCTTGGAAATACTTTCCTTCATGTTTGGACATCATATATGCATGTAAACGTCTGGTGCATTCTAATTATGAAGGGTGTTACTCCTGTGAAACTCTTTTCTCTGGACCTTGGTGGGGAATCAGCATCCAGCCATTGCTCTCTCTTTCATACCAACTAGACCAGATGTCCAGACATAGAGTGATCGGCATAGCACACTTTCTGATATTAAAACTACGAGGAATATTGCTTGCATCCCCAACATCCTTGGTTGCATAATGTAAGAAAATGTTCGTATGCTGGTCAAAATAAGCCTGGCATGACCCACAAATACCATAGAGCAAGCAATTCATGAGGCTGCTAGTAAGATGACTGTCGATTTATTGAAGGATTAGATGTGGAAGATACTGTGAAGAGTAGATCCAGGCTCGAGAACATGTGAGGTGGAGCAGTGATTGGAAAGAAAACAGAGGAAAATGTTTGTGAGGTTTAAGAGCTATATTTATACGAAACTGGCAACCTATCATTATATCAATATGAGATGAACAGGGGGTGTAGTTGAATTAGTTAAGCTTTGAGTTTACTTTCAAAACTGACTTTGAGTTTCATAAATTTGAGAGCTATTATAACATATATAACTGTTAATTTTAATGCTCATGAAATTAATTGAGAATCACGTAAATTAACCTAGATATTTACATTAATAATAATAATAAAAAAATAGAAGGCAGATGAGGATGATAATATCATCCCATGGATGCGACGGATTAAAGTTTTGTCTTGAAAATGCAAGATGGCCTTCGTTTAACAGAGTAGATCCCATGTTTTATTAGATGAAGGAAAGGGAGAGGCGCGATTCGTGCTTTGAAACCCTAAAATATACGAATCAATTTTCTTTCAGAGGAGTGGAAGCGATCCAGTTAGGCACCAGTCCAAACTTGTTCATAGTTTGATTGATCCTGGCTGCATAAAAAATAAAATCAAGTTTTAAAAATCATCTCATGAACATTATGTGGAATTATGTGATCTAAACCATTTAAATTTGAAAATGTTATTGGATGAGTATTCAATTTGAGGCTAATTTAAATTAGAAAAGAAGTTATTTTGTAAGATTGATTACATTGTTAAATCTAAATATTTTAAATTTAATTTATATGGGAATGATTAAATGCATAATAAAAATGACAATAAATTACTTTTTATTATTTTATTCTTCTCTTAATCCAAATCATTGAATTCAAAACAAAATAAATTGGTAACTTGTGTTTTATTTTGTCAAGTTATTTAAATTTAAATCATTGAGTTCAAATTGAATAAATAGACTTTAATGCATGATAAAAATGATAACAATTCTAGTCCTTATATTTTATTTGTCTTACCTAATTCAATTCATTGAATTCGAGACTAATGATATGAGAGGATCGTAATCCTATTCTTTCATATAAAAATTTCAATTTCAGGTTATTTAAAGGATTCAAATTATATTTTTATTCTTAGATTTATTTACATTTTTTTAAATAAACGGTTTTGGGATTTTTTTAACTTAATTTTGACTTAGTTAATTGTAATTTTTATAGCACTTTAGGTAAAAAATAAAATAAAAATGATGGGTAATGGACAAACACCCGCAAACTTTTACCAATAAAAAAAAACAAAATTTTCTTATTTGTTTACATGCCAAGTGTGTATGTGTTTATTTATCGACACCGTATGAAATTAATTTAAAAAATAAAAAATCTTTCATTTTACAAAAAAAAGATATTATATAGTAATAGTGTTAGTATATTTATTCTATTATTTTTTAAAAGATGCAAATGATGGATATTAAACTATATAGGATAATTTAAAATATGACAAAACCACAAAACAGTTTTAATAGTACCTGTAGCATTAAAAGTATACTAATTAATTAATTTAAAAAATTGTTGTTCTCACTACTTATTTTTCTTAAAATGATTAATTTACCCTTTTTTAGTTTATTTTTATTATATTACAACTTAAAGTATAATTTCCATTAATGATGATATGAATATGTTATAATGGTTATTTAAAAAAAAAAGTCACGGGAAGAGCAATTTTTGTAGTGAATTTAGCACCACCTACCCACACACACCACACACATATACATACATACATACATACATATACATATACATATACATATACATATATATATGTATATATATATAAATTATACACACATTATTATCCATATAAATCATATATCCCTTTTATTATTATTTCATTGATTTTGACACAATTATTCTGTTTTAATGAAAAAAATGCAAATTTTTCTTTTTGAGAAAGAAAAAAAGGGAAGGGAATTTAATGGACAAGAGATATCACTATACCAGGATCCTAGAGACAAAGGTTATACGAGGATCAAATTGAAACAAATAAAGAATAGAAGGATCAAAGCACCAAAACCCATTTCAAACTCATCAGAGAAAACTGTTTCAGCTTCTTGCAGCTTGTGATAAGCTTTGGTGGCACTGAGAAAAGAGGAAACAAAAGAAGAAAATGAGAGGTTCCAGTGCTGCTTGTTGTGCAGCACCCATAAGCGTCTCCACTGCTAAAATTGCTTGTAGAAACGAATCTCCCCTCTTCCAATTCAAAATCTTATGTCCCTTTGCTTCACTAACCACCACCTCCATTTTCACAACAACAAGACCATTTCTTTCTCTTTCACGGTCACAATCACTAACCACCACCTCCATTTTCACGACAACAAGACCATTTCTTTCTCTTTCACGGTCACAACCCGATAAAGCAAACCACAAGCAGAAGTTATGGGAATTTAGTTGTGCCACCATTCCTTCAAGTTCAACAGTAGCAAACCCATCTAATGATTTTATAGTTGTCAATTTCTATCGCTTTGTTTTTATAAACGATCCCCGTGAAGAAGTTGCCAAGCACCTCTCTTTCTTAAAGGTGTGTCCTCTCTATATTTTCTTGTTAAATTTTGGATTTTTTTTACTTGAAGCTTACATCTTTGCTTAATTTATTATAAGGGCCTTGATATTCATGGGAGAATCTATGTGAATGAACAAGGGATTAATGCTCAGGTAATGTTTTTTGTACTTATATTTTCTTAAAGACTTAATTTTTTGAAAAAGAGAAATAATGAGTTGAAATGGGTTTTTGTTCTTCATGTATGTTCTTATGTGCAAGAAAAAAATTCTACTGGCTATGTAAAGTGATGTGTCGATATCTTTGCTTTATCTTGGTGTTAAGGTGCTTATTTCCCATCTCTCTCTTGTTAAGTGTTCTCATTGTTGCTGTAGTTTGGAGCATGTGGAGTTTTGTATTTTGGGTAAATAGTGGTTTGTTCTAGTGATCTATTAAAATTTCAACCACCATCTCCACAGAATTCTAGTAATCTATTAAAATAAATACTGTCTTCATCCCTCAAATATTTTGGAATATCAAACAAGCTGCCCATTGAGAGAAGTCAGAGGTTCTTCCTTTTCCAAAAAATAGATACTTTCCCACGGTTTTAGACATGTCAAGAGAGTGTCTTAAATTAGGATAATTGGTCATAAAATTGTGAAGTCATAAATATAAATGAATGTGGATATGTTGCACTTCCCAAAAGATTCTGTTCTTTTTTAAGCGAACCTTTTCTTTTTAATGGTTGTGGAAATAATGTTTTCTACCTGTTGATAAATTTTTAAGCCACTGCATCGAAGTTTTTTCCTTCTGATCTTCTTCATCCTTGTGCAGTACAGTGGACCATCAAAAGATGCTCTGGCATATGTTGAATGGTTAAGAGAAGATTACAGATTTTCTGATATACTGGTTCAGATATCTCCGGCATTAAATGGGCATGCTTTCCCAAAATTAAAGCTGCGTTATAAACCCTCCTTAGTACAGGTGACATTTAATTGCACAAATATTCTTGAATATTTTGCTGTTTGCCTGCATTGAGTTTTGACTTACATATATGTCATGCATGTATGTTTTCATCTTGTTACTATTATTTCTTCGCCAGTTGGAAGGAGGTATTTCACATCTCCCTTTGCTTGATCCTACAATGCGAGCGACACCTCTAGCACCATCTGAGTGGAGAAAAAGATTGAAAGAAGTACATGATTCAAACTGTGTTGTGCTGGATGTTAGAAATGGTATTTATTTTTCTTCTTCTTACATGTCATTTTCAGTTTTCACCTGGATTTTCTTGTAGGAATTTGCTATGTTTTATTATATGTTTTTGTTATGCTGTTGATGTTAGTAGCATTTTTTTGGAGATACTAAAATGAGCACTATTTGAGGATCATGATACATGGATTTAGATAGGGGAGTCAAATCAGGGGTTTTCTTGGAGCATCCTTGCAGTCTTATATTATAGGTTTACAGTATGAGCACTTGGATGAAAGAACAGAGCTCAAATAAATGAGTCTAACACGTGAAACAGCTTTTGCAATGACAAAATATGATGGTTGGTTATGATAATTGCCATGGGAAGTTGAAATTCATTGTTATTCCTTGGTGATGATGATTTCTAAAAAGTGTGATTTGGGGAAAACAATTGAAAAGAAGTTGCTTCAATGACACATGTAGGAATCCACTTGCCAATAAAATTTCACTGGTTGTGGCACTGGAGAAACTTGGGTATTTTTCA